AAAAAAAAAAAAAAAAAAAAAAAAAAAAAAAAAAAAAACCGAGACAAAACAAAACCACCGACAAAAGAGAAATCACTGAAGTTTCCTCGGCCTCACTTTCACCCTCTAGGAACGGAGTATATAATAAAACACCTGTGAGATTTCTGCAACAATTAAATAGGAGCTTGCGTGTCTAACAGAGTGCGCGTCACTAACAACCACTCAGACCCCACACTGTACAGCCAGGAGGTATAGTCCTACCCAGACAAAACTTTCGTAGGTTCCCTTTCAGCTAAGGCGCCGCGTCACTAAATTCTGCTTAATGGCAGCTGAGCGCTGTATAAAGCTGTAAACCTGTGTCTGTCTTCTCCCTGGAATGCAGAGGGAGCTGGAGCTCAAGCATCCGCCTCAGGCCATGAAGTAGGAACCGAGGAGGAAGCAACAGAACAAGACAGAAACGTTGCTTCGGGTTTTTTTCTCTTTCTTTCTTTTTTTAAACTTATATATGCTCCGGGAGTAGCTCAAGCTTAGGTTCTTTCTGTTTAGCCTCACATCCTTTTTCCTTTGAAAGGTTTTTTAGATGCAGAGGAGTGTCTGCCTGTGCATCCGTCTATGTATCACCTTCACGCCTGACGCCCGTGGACGTCAGAAGAGGGGTCCGATTCCCTGAATCTGAGCCAGTAAGACAGGTCCCTTGGCAGCAGGGGGGCAGGTGAGGTCCTACCTCTGCCCACAAGGGTGGATTTCTGACAGGACGGTAGCCAAGGCCCCAGGAATAGCACCATTCATCAGGCTGTACGGCTGGACCTGAATGCTGTGGGTTATTCTAAGGTGTGTTGCTTTTGTTTATGTTGCATTTGTTGAACTCTGTGAAGCTGTGTTACTGTGCCTGTCTAAAACACCTGAGGGTCTAATAAAGAACTGGCTGATCGCAAGACAGGAGAAAGGATAGGTGGGGCTGGCAGGTAGAAAGAATATATAGAAGGAGAAATCTGGGAGAAAAAGAGAAGTAGCCAGAGAAGGAGGAGGACTCCAGGGGCCAGTCACCCAGCTACACAGCCAGCCACGAAGTAAGAGTAAGATTTACAGAAGTAAGAGAATGGGAAAAGCCCGGAGGCAAAACTAGACAGGATAATTAAAGTTAAGGGAAGCTGGCAAGAAACAAGCCAAGCTAAGGCTGCGTATTCATAATTAATAAGCTCCATGTGTGATTTATATGGGAGCTGGGTGGTGGGTCCCCCCAAAGAGCCAAAGCAGACACCACCACCTGAACTCAGGTAACCCGCCCCTGGCCTCTGCCACCCACCCTGCTTGTGGCGCTACAAAAGCCAGCTCTCGGCTTCTGTACAGCTGCTTCTCTGCCTGAAGCTCCGCCCCTCTGCGTCACCAGGTGACTTTCAGTTCCTCACTGATAGGCCATTCCTCTTAAAATATCTGAGGTGCCACGCCTGGCTAGCCCTCCTGCAAAACACCCCCGCACGGCCCCACCTCATCCTGCTGGAATAGGGTGCGCAGTACCGCACCCTGTCCGGGTGGGACCTCCCTGAAGGCCAAAGCCACAGAACGCCTGCCCAGAGGGCAGCGGGCAGCGTGCATGGGACACAGCCAGATCTGCAGGAACCTAGAGCCGGGGGCCCAGGAAACAGAGGGCAGGGGAACCTGAGGCCCGGTTGTGTCTGAGTCCCAGGATGCTGTGCTCCCGGGGCCAAGAGCAGCCTCAGGAGAGCCATCCTCAGTCCTGGTCCAGGCTGGCTCCTCCCTACCTCACCTGGGCTGGGGGGGTCTCATCCTCGTCCTCACTGCTGGATTCCTCCTCGCTGTCCCCCGAGGAGTCTTCCTGAGCTGTAGCCCTGACCTGGGCAACCGGAGGCCCTGTCCTCCCAGGGTGCACTGAGGCCGTCCCTTGTCCCGAAGCAGCTTTCCCTTGGAGGCCCTTCCCCACAGATGTCCCCTAGAAAGACAAGGGGGTGAAAGGGTTTCTCACAGGGGCCTGAGATGCCCCTTGGGGGAGAGCAGTGAGTGAGCCACCCGGGCAAATGCGGGCCTCACCTGTACCCTCGTGGCACCAGGAGCAGCTTTTGACTCACACTCACTAGAGGATGAGGTACTCACCAGCACAGGGGCGACTGTGGCCGAGGCGGGGGTGCCTTTCCTCGGGGAAGCCTTTGCCTGCTTTCCCAGAGCTGGTTTGGCCTGTGGAGAGAGCGCAGAGGAAGGCTGGAGAGGACGCCTTGATTCACAGGCCACATCTGTTCTGGGATGCAGCTCCTCCTGGCCTCCCTGCCAACCAGAACCCACATAACTCTTGAGAGGAGGTGTACCGGCCAGGCGCCCCCTCTCCTCCCCGGGCTCCCCACCTGAGCCGGAGCGGAAGCTGCTGGTGCTGCCTCCTCCTCGTCGCTGTCGGTGGACTCCTCACTGCTCTGGGAGTCGTCTTTGCGCCCTTCACTCTTGACCTGGGTGGCCACAGGCACCGCCTTCTGAGGGAGCGCAGCAGGGGGGGCCCTCCTCCCCACAGCCTTTGCCTGGAGGGAGACACACGGGATCAGTGGGGAGCCCCAGGAAGGGAACATGCAGGAACTGGAGACACAGGCAGGGACGCCTGGAGGGAAGGGTCTGGAGCCTGCGGCCACACGGGCTCCGGAGCTGAGGCCCTGCGAGGGCTCACCTTGGCCGGGGTCAGGGCCCTGTCGCTCTCAGACTCCTCACTGCTGCTCTCCGAGTCCTCTTCTGCCTTTCCCGTTTGGACCTTGAGAGCTGCTGACCCGGCCTTCCCAGGGCCTTTTCCTGAGGACCCCGGGCTCACAGCGGAAGCCGGTCTGGCCTGAGGGCTTTTCCCCAGAGGTTTCATCTGTGAGTGACAGAGGGTGAGATCAGGGGAAGGTGCCCTGGTTTTGAAGGGCGAGGATTGCAGCCAGAAGGCCTTTTCTAGGCAGGGCACGGGGCTCCTGGCCTCACCTGGGCAGGACTTGTGCTCAGGGGTGCAGCGGCTGGTGTCTTCCCCATGTCGATGCCGGACTCCTCACTGCTGCTGTCCGAGTCCTCCCGCTTCCCCGCCTGGGCCGCCACAGGCCCTGCCTTTCCAGGGGCGACTGGAGGAGCCCCTTTCTGGGGGGACCCTTTGGCAGGAGCTGAAGTACTCCTGACCTGAGGGTTCTTCCCGGAAATCTTCGCCTGGTGTGAGAAAGTGAGGAGTGAATCAGAAGGTGGGTAGGTGCAAAGCTCTGACAGACAGACAGACGGACAGACAGACAGACAGACAGACAGTCTTATCAGTAGGAAGGGATAGGCTGGATGTGTGCAAGGCTCTGACAGAGCAGGTGGGCTAGGACCCGCTGAGTGGACAGGTCCAGCGGCCTGCTGGGTCTAGGCTGTGATGTCCCAACCAGACTTCACCTGAGGGGTGGAGACATCAATTGGCTCCTCCTCCTCCTCCTCACTGTCAGAATCGTCCTCACTGCTGCTCTCTGTATCCTTCTCTGGCCTTCCTGCCTTGGCTTGGGCGGCTGTGGGCCCAGTCTTCTCTGGTGGTGCTGAGATGGGCCCTTTTCCAGAAATCTTGGCAGAAACCGAGGCAGCTCCGGCCTGAGGAACTTTTCCAGGGGCCTTCACCTGTGAAAGACAAAACCAATTCACTCTTCTAAGTTCCTCTGGTGACGCCATCAGGAAAAAGCCCAGAGGTTCCTGAGACACCAATTTCCCTTCTCACCTTCACTGGAGTCCTAGCTACCCTGGCCCTCTGATTCCTTGGCAATGACCAGCTCCATATCCTTTGAGCACCAGAGCCCTGACCCATTTCACCTGGCCACTACATCCTTAGCCCCCAGTGACACCAGGATGGACAGCCCCTGCACGTAAGTGGTTAAATCCTCAGCTGGAAAAGTCCGCTCTGTGGGTACAGGCACTGGCCTGAGTCTGGTCAGTTCATGAACAGCTGGCAGGGCTCAGGGCAGAGATAGGGTATGCAAAGGTAGCTGGTAAGGGACAGCCTGAACACAGGAAAGTACAGCTTCCCTGGGCTTCCTGTGACAGACCGCAACAGGACCCCAGAAAGCCTGTCCTCAGCCTCCCAGATCCAGTTCCCACATGGCCTCCTCTTCATCCACTCTCCCTATTCTTCTCAGCCAAAGGCTTGCCACTGCCTCTAGGGTGTGGCAGGGCGGCCACAGGCCTTGTCTTCTCATGAAGGTCTTGTCCACCCTGTCCCAAATTTCCTGGAAAGTAAGTGGCTCTGGACCTTCTAAGACCTTCTGTGAGGAGCAATGACTCCTCACAAGTTGCATTCAGCTTCTCTACAGATCTGAACCTGAGCAGGGTGGGTCTGTACACCTGTAACTCACCTCAGAGCCTCAACGCCCAACTATGTGCCCTGCCCCCTTCAACTTCAGGTCCTTGGCTATAGCTCTCCTCCTTCTGGGGCCTTCCCTGGCCACTTCACATCGTCAACCAGCTTGTCTTTAACGCTTTCACAATTGCACACATGCTGTCCCCCACTCCCAGTCCAGATGTGGACCGCCCTGTCTGGTTCCTCCTTGCTCTAAGTGTAAAGGCTTTCTAGACCTTTCTGCTCGTCTCAGGTTGTGTTCAGGGCCATGAGATTGCTAGCTGAACTACACTCCACGGGAAAGGCTCCCCCGAACGGGAACAGAAGAGAGTCTCTCTAGTGTTTGACTGCTCAGGGTCTGGTTTGGCTAGAAAAGCTGAGAGAAGAACTTCAAACCTCTCAAGACTCCCCAGGACACGTGTGGTGGTCTGAATGAGAATGGCCCCCATAGGCTCCCAAGTTTGAATACTCGGTCCCCTACTGATGGAATTGTTTGGAAGGATTAGAAGGTGGGGCCTTGTTCCAGGTGTGTCACTGGCTTTGAGGTTTCCCAGCTAGCTTGCTCTCTGCTTGTGGATCAGATCTAAGCTCCCAGCTGCTGCTGCAGCTCCATGCCTGGCTGCTGCCCTGCTCTCCCCCATGATGGTCATGGACTCTAACCCTCGGAACTGTAGGCATCCAGTTAAACTTTCTTTTACAAGCTGCCTTTGTGATGGTGTCTCATGATATAGTACACGACTGGAACCCCAGAATTTGGGAGGCTGAGGCAGTAAGAGCGTGAGTTAAGAGACCCAGAATGAAGAAAACTCTGGGTCTCTCTCTTCCCAGCAGGGCCAGCTATGCTGAGGACAGTCGTACTCTTGCCACTATGGAAACCAAGGCAAATATAATGTAATCACTGGAGTGTAGGACCTGCCCCCAGGAGTCAGCCATTCTCGCTGCAGTGTGGGCCCAAAGGGCCATTTCCACAGGCCTGAAGCCCCCACTCTTCTCCATGAACTCCAGAATGGGCCCTCTTTACACAGTGGCTTTGCCAGCATCGGCAGCCCTAGGCAGTGGGCCGAGGGACGGCCCTCCCTGGGCTCACCTGGCTGGGCATCCCAGCGGGGGGCTCGTCCTCCTCACTCTCGGAGTCCTCCTCACTGCTCTCGGATTCTTCTGTGTCTGCAGTCCTCCCTGGTGCGGCCGGCGTGCCTGCCTGGGGCCGGGGCGTCACACTCCCTAACTTGGTAGGGCCTGGGGCTGTTCTTGCCGGTGGCTCCTTGGCAGGGGCTGGGGCCACTTTGGCCGGGGCTGGTTTTACCGAAAGTTTCACCTAGAAGCAGGAGACAGAGGCAGCAGAGGAAAACCATTTCCCATTTGCTGTCAAGCTCCGTGGCAACAGGAACGAGAAGGGCGCCCTGAGGTTCATGTGTGAGTACTGGGTTCCCCACTGGTAGAACTGTTTGAGAAGGATGGGGTAGGCTTAGGTTTCCAAAGACTCGTGTTACTCCTGGTTTCCCTCTCAGCCTCCCGCTTTTGAGTCACGCCGCGAGCTCCCAGCTGTTCCTGCTGCCATGCCTTTGTGCCACCGTCGTGGACTCTGACCTTCTGGAACAGTAAGTCCAATTAAACTCTTAGAACTTGCCTTGGCGTCTCAGTCACTGTTCTATTGCTATGAAGAGACCCCATGACCAAGGCAACACTCGTAACAGAAAGCATTTCATTGGGGGCTGGCTTACAGTTTCAGAGTGAGGTAGTTTGGATGTAACTGGCCCCCATAAGCTCATAGGGAGTGGCACTATTAGGAGGTGTGGCTTTGTTGGAGTAGGTGTGGCCTTGTTGGGGGAAGTGTGTCACTGTGGAGGTGGGCTTTGAGGTCTCATACATGCTCAAGCCATGCCCAGTGTCTCAGACCACTTCCTGTTGCCTACAAGTCAAGGTGTAGGACACTCAGCTTCTTCTCCAGCACCATGTCTGCCTGCACGCCACCTTGTTGCACCGTGATGATAATGGACCAAACCTCTGAAACTGTAAGCCACCCCGATTAAATGTTTTTCCTTTATAAGAGTTGCTGTGGTCAGGATGTCTCTTCACAGCAGTAGAAATCCTAAGACATAACAGTTTAGTCCATTATCACCACAGCAGGGAGCATGGTACTAGAGAAGTAGTTGAGAGCTACATCCTAATCCACAGGCAGAGAAATGGAGTCTGGCATGGCTTTTTGAAACTTGAAACCTCAAAGCCCACCCCTAGTGGGTACAACTCCTCCAACAAGGCCACACCTCCTAATCCTTATAATCCTTTCAAACAGTTCCACTCTCTGGTGATCAAGCATTCGAATGTATGAGCCTATAGGGGCCATTCTCAGCAACAGAAAAGTAACCAATACAAGCCCCTTCCTAGGAATGGCTCAGTTGCCTTTAGCCTACTGGCTATGGGTGGGTTAGGACTTCTGTTGGTCTTTTCTGTGTTGAACACACAGATTGCAAGCCCAGCGCCACTTTGAGATCTTTGGCAGCAGTTAACTCTGCAGCTCACACACGATTGAGCCTGTATGATAATGAGTATTCAGAGATGGGTAATGCCTGGGGGGTGCTCACCAACCAAAGACAGAGTGCCTGTGTGGCCTGGGCAGGCATCTCCATGACGGGTAAGGTGACCTGTTGACGTCCCATGCAACCTAAGTCAGAAGCTCATTTTCTAGTAAAAGGGGGACCTGTAGGACCCTGGCCCCCATTTTGGGTAACTGTTGCCTTGCTTGCTGACCTTGACCTTGATATCTTCCCTATGCTAATTCCCTGCTGGTTTCCACCCTCCTGAATGCTTAAGGGAAGTTCCTTGTCTGTGTATCCTGCATAATGGGCGTTAACAGCTTAGATGCAAGATTGTAAAACATCTTTAGAACAAGCCCCTTCCTAAAAGCACACGCTCTCCTATCTCCCAGAGGTAGGCAGAGTCTTACTCCCTTTTTCCAAAAAGGCACAGATTGTTCAAGGGCAGCACAAAGGCTTATAGGACCCCTGGCTACCTTTCAGGCAGAACTCAGCCACCATGCCCATTGACACACAACAGGGTCCATCCTGAGGGGACCCTCAAACTAAAAAGCATCTGCCTGTGGCAGCTATCCAGGGAGAGGCGCCTGGTATCTGCACTGGCATGAGCTTCTTCCTGGGAATTCCTCAGTGTCCCAAAATACTGACAGCCTAAGGTAGCGGGCAGGTCAGTCAGCCCCTGCTCTACTTCTGCGCCCAGGCCCCACACGACCCTTCAGTATCCCGTTCTTCCCAAACGGCTCACTGCTGCCAGAGATCCACACTGGTTTCTGGTCCAATGTGCTATACTCAGGTGCTAGACTTCCAGGAGCAAGGCCTGGAGTGAGGGGATCCAGAGGTGTCCTTATGATACTCAGGGCCCGACAGCAAGAGAGAAGGTAAGGAGCGGCCTGTGGCCACATCTTGGATAGATGAGGATGGCTCAGCCTTCCCAGGGTCACTGCGTTTGGTGGGGCAGCACCCTAGGCACTGTGTCAATCTATCCCTGGCTCCTGCAGGTCCTCCATCTAAACTGTCCAACCATTTGACATTATGATACAACACTGTCATTTACAAAGTTCATGCCCAGGATCCAACAACCGAAATAAAAATACCCTCATGTTTTATATAAGATGATGGCTTTGTATCAGGCTGCAGGTTGGCTACACCTACTAACAGGATTTCTAAATGGGACACCTTGTCATGGTTATGTCAACCCTCCAGTGGTCCTCACTACCTCAGTTTTGTGTCTGAAACCCTGTGACAGCCCCTCAGTGACCCTACAGATAACCCCTAACACCTACACTGGCCTGCTAGCTCAGACAGAGGACCGAGGCTCTGCCTTGTCTAACTTCCTCTCATGCCACATTCCCCTCACACAAGAAACTGCAGCTCCACGTGCTTCAGACACACAAGCCCCCTCCACTTGTCTCTGTTGGTGCTGTGACTTCTGCCACATCTGCTCACCGGGTGTCAGGCTGACTGACCCCTATGGCTTCCTGTTTTCCTTCCCCACGAAGGTAGGAAGTCTGCCTACCTAGCTCACTTTGTAGACTCAAGTTCTGGTGTTAAGTATTCAAAATTCAGAGACGGCCGGGCGGTGGTGGCGCACGCCTTTAATCCCAGCACTCAGGAGGCAGAGCCAGGCGGATCTCTGTGAGTTCGAGGCCAGCCTGGGCTACCAAGTGAGCTCCAGGAAAGGCGCAAAGCTACACAAAGAAACCCTGTCTCGAAGAAAAAAAAAAAATTCAGAGACGAGGCTGCAGACCAAGGGTCCTGTCCAATTCTAGCCCAGCACCTACGTTCTCCATTAGGCTCAGAGTCCTCTCAGCAGCCTTACCCTTGACCCCAGCAGTTACATTCTTGATCCTATGTCTTCCTCTCCCAGCATTCCATGCCTACCATCCAGGAGGGTGTCTCCCTCTCATCACACTGGACCCTGATGCTCAGCACATCCTGAGCAGAACCATGTTCTTCATCCCACAACTGCTCAGCCTCGGCTGTAACCTTTCCAGCTGCTGACATGACTGCTGAGCGGATAACTGGGATCCGGAACACCAGCAAGGCTTCTGGGAGGGTCAGAGGCTGGAAGGCAGCATGCATGCCTGGGGATGGGTGCCGATTACCTCTACATCTGTCTCATCACTTGAGCTGGAGGTATCGTCACTGGAACTGCTGGCTTGGCCCGCTGACAACATTCCTAAGGATGGACACAGGGGACTGAGTACCCTTTCCACATTCACCTCCCTTCCCAGAACCCCCATGCCAGCTGCTAGTCAAATCTAGGTGCCAAGCACTTTCTCACCTGTACAGGGTCAGCTATCTGCCCTGACCCAAAGCCCCCCAGCTGGGGTGGGGACCCTCGTTACCCATTTTTTCATCGCTCTTGAGGCCTTGGTAAGGCTAGCAGCACCCGATGGTTAAGTTACTCTTTGCTAACACACTGGCGCACGGGGGACAGACTGGGCACATACCTAGTCTGCCTAAGAAATGCAAACAGACATATGCCTTTCCATTTAGTTTCTAAGTGGCCACAGTGATCCCTGTAACCCACCCGAGAGAGAAGGCAGGAAATGCCACCCTCTGAAAAGCCCGTCTTGTCTGAGGAGCTGACCTAGGAGGTCAGGAATGGGGGAAATGCTTGTCGGTGCAGGACCCTGACTGTCACAGAGACAAACCTGCACTCAGAATGTCCCAAACAGCACACCAGTGCTTAGGCCTGCCTCCTTATCCCAGGCTCTGGGGGCCTCTCACCAGGCTTGGCAGTGGCACCGAGGGCTTGGACACTGCCCTCCTCCTCAGTTTCTGAGGCCAAGACCGTGTTTGCCGAGGGCTCTGCTGACTTCTTGGGTGACTTCCCCGAGAGCAGGTGGACCACTGCCTTTCCCGATGCAGGAGGCAACACAGAGTTGACCATCTTGTTGACTGTCTTGGTCTTTGCCTACAGAGTACGAGAGGGATGAGCATCTGTCATGACAGAACACATGAGAAACAGAGCCCCCCCCCCCCACATGCGGGCCCAACATGGACACTCCCCACCTCCTTCCCTAGCCTAAGGGCAGGCAGCTCTGGCCTGTAACAGTCACGTGATTTGTCACCCGTCTTTATAGTGGATGAAGACGCCTTTCTCGGGCGTTAAGTGCATTACCATTCCTGGGTCACAGTAGCTCCTGCTCTGCATTAAGCAGTGATATCATTATTTCATCATTACTTTTACAGATTATTGCTATGTTCTGGTTTCAGTGGCATAATCATTTCTGTAACTGCAACAATGTTTACAGATTATCGACAAATGACATTTTCTCAGTACTTTCTGCTTTAGAAAAATGTGTAGAGTGCATCAACACAGAAATCTTATTTATGATGGTACTCCGCTGCTCAGCAGAGCCCACAACACACCAGGTACTGGAGAAGAGCTACTCAGTGACCAGGTGAGTGTAGCAGGGGAGGAAGGAAACGCCCATGTGCCATGTGGCTCGAGGTAACGAGGATCACTTCTAGCTCACAGAAGAGGCACCCGAGGCCCAGACAGGTGAAGACACAGACTGAGCCTTACCACCCTATCCCGACACTGGAGACGACGCTCTACTGGATGTAACTCCCACAGGGAACAAATGACTCCGAAGTAACTCACCTGGGCCTTTTCCTTCATGCTTGGCGGCAAAGCTGCAGCCATGGCGGAGGAATTGACAGATGTCAGTCTCGGGGCTGGAAGACACAAACACCGTGAGCAAGGCGGCCTCTTCTCATCTGAGGAAGATGGGCAGAGTTCACCCCAACTCACAGTCCTACTGGTACTGGCCGCTTAGGGTTAGTATGAGGACCTGAGGCCTAGCCCAGAACCATGAGGAAGAGCTCTGTGATGCATCAGCTTGCTTACCCTGTCGGCATCCCTGAGGGACTCCCAGCTGCTCCATGGCATGAGACTCGGAGGCCCCCAGGGAAAGGACGGGCTTACATTCCTACCACCGACTACCACAAAACATGCCTGACTCTGGCCAGCGCTCTTTGCACAGGGTGCCAACCCTCTGTCCTGATAATCCTGGCAGGCAGGGCAGTGATCAGGCGGCCAGCCCCAGGTGACAGAGAAAGCTCTGTGGAAGGTAAGCGGTTTCCTGGTGGAAATGGTGCTGACCCAGGAGCTGGGCCTGGTTGGAGATATTGAGATACAGACTATGGATGGTTTTAGGGAACGGTCACCTTAGATCTCAAGTACAGGGGATGTTATCATTAATGGGACAATTGTTGAAACGGACAGCACGACTGAATTATTTCCTGGCACTTCAACGCTCCTTTTTCTGCACCCAAGTACACAAAACACACATAGCTCTGGCCTTTATTGTGACTTCCTATCAACTTGTAGCCAATCTTAGTCACATACCGCCCCATTTTCCCCTTCCACATCACACATTATTTTGAAGAAAATGCTTGACATCCTGTCATGTGACCCACAAATACTTCAAAGAGGACTCTCAAGCCAGATGTGGTGGCACATGCCTATCATGCTAGTACTCAGAAAGCCGAGGCAGGATGTTCCTCAGTTTGAGGCCAGTCTGGACTACATAGCAAGACCTTGTCTCAAGAAGAACTAAGGAAAAACAACAAAAACCCAAACCAAAAAACAAAAACCCAAAATGTAAGAAGTCAATTACAAGTCCATCACCATAGTTCTAAAAATTGATTACTGGCTAAAGAGACTGCAGACCGGGGTGGGGGGTGGCACATATGGGAGGAGACCTACTACTGTTGTTTTGATGTCAAATTGCCCGAGAGAGAGAGAGAGAGAGAGAGAGAGAGAGAGAGAGAGAGAGAGAGAGAGAGTGTGTGTGTGTGTGTGTGTGTGTGTGTGTGTGTGTGTGTGTGTGTGTTCACCTTTCTACACTGGGCAGCAATGCAGAGACCCACAACCTGTCAAAGCTGAGAGTAAGTGCCGACTGAGCTCTCAGCCCTAAACGGGACACAGATCAAGCCTCCAGGGCTCAGGGAACACTACAGAAGAGCAGGTAGAAAGGATGCAAGAGCTGGTGAAGTGCTGTCATATGGACATGACAAGGTCGTTCTCATGACCTCGCTGTAGCTAGAGTTAACTACACAAGACTGGCCAACATTCGAGCAGGCGGCACTAATTGGACCCAGTGGATTGATCACAACAAAACAAACACGAAAAAGAAAAAGAGGATATTAAGGTGGGAGGGCATATTGGGGGGTCCTGGGGGAGTAGGGTATGGGTATGATCGTCAACATGTATTGTGTCGTCAACGAGTATTGTACACGTGTATGAAATTGTCAGAGAATAAATGAAAGACATTGTTTAAAAATTGATTACTACCAAATACCCAGTCAGTACAAACATTTGCCATTTCTGTTTGAAGCAGGATTCTGTCCACATGCACATAGGGACACCTGCTTGACTGGAAGAAACAGGGCAGGCTTGTAGGCTGCCCGCCACGGGGCATGCATGGGCAGGACGTGATGGGGACAAGGACAGGAAACCCTGTATTTTTCTTCCGTATGCTTCTTACATACAAACTGGACCTGCTTTGCATGTATCATTTAAGATCAAGATATAAAATATATATCCAGTATCCTCTCAAACATCTGGCACACACAAGTAAAATAAATTAAACACAAGACTGCAGAATTGGAGGTGTGTCACTGGGGCTGTGCTTTGAAGTTTCAATAAGCCCACACTGGCTCTTTGCCTGCAGACCAGGATGTAAAGCTCTCAAGTACTGCTTCAATGCCATGCCTGCCTGCCTGCAACCATGACGATCATGGACTAACCCTCTGAAATTGTAAACAAGTCCCCCAGTTAAATGCTTTTTTAAATATAAACTGCCTTGCTCATGGTGTCTCTTCATAGCAATAGAACAGTAACTAAAACAACCAGCAACTCTTGAAGCAGCCCCAAGGCCACTCATAAGAGGGACCGTCAAGACCTTCTGAAGTGGTCCCAACACTTGCACAAATGTGGTCTCCTTCCCATCTTTAGCAGTAGCATTGAAAACAGCTCTGGGGGGTGAACTGAACAGCTGTGTGGACCTTTTTTTTTTCTTTTTTGAGACAGGGTTGTAGTCCTTGCTGGACTGGAATTTACTATGCAGACCAGGCTGGCCTCAAACTCACAGAGATTCATTTGTCTCTGTGCTGTGATTAAATGTGTGTACCACTGTTGCACAAATCCTAATTGGTCTTATAATAAAAACCCGGAGACAGATATCAGGGTAAATGCTGAAAGACCAGAGGAAACGAGCCACAGCCACTTCTCACCTGGCCAACTCCTCAGCTAAAAGGGGAAGATCCTGTCCCTATGAATCCTCAGACTGAATGTCCCTGAGCCCTCAACCAAAAGGGCACCGAACTCCTGTCTCCTCCAGCCTTATATTTCTTTCTCTGCCCAGCCATATCACTTCCTGTTTCAACCTTCCTAGAGCTGGGATTAAAGGCATATGACTCCCAAGTACTGGGATTAAAGGTGTGTGCCACCAGTGACTGGCTTTGTTTCTCTTTTAGACTAGATTAATCTCATGCAGTCCAGGGCGGCTTTGAACTCACAGAGATCCAGATAGGTCTCTGCCTCCTGAGTGCTAGGATTAAAGGTGTGTGACACTATTGTCTGACCTCTATGTCTAATCTAGTGGCCGGCTCTGTCTTCTGATCTTCAGGCAAATGTTGTTAGAGTACAAATAAAGTATCACCACACACTACCACATCTAGCCTTCTGGGATCTTATGATTCTCCTTTGGATCCTCAGAATTTGGGGTCACAACATCTGCCACAAAGGAAGGGCTCCCTGGAACTTTCTAACTTCCCTCTGAAAAGCCCCATTTTTTTCTGGGCTTACACTAAAGAATGATTCAGAGGGGAACACTGCTGTGGAGCAGACTGGCACTCCACAGTTGTCTCAGGGGCAGGCCCCAACCCCACACAACACCTGGCAGGAAGGGTTCTTACTGGCTTTGGCAGTTTTGGGTTCTGCCTCCTCTTCTTCCTCTTCCGAGCTCTCTGAGCTGCTAACGGGGTCTGACACCCGGAACTTCTTGGCCTGCAGGGCCACATCATCTTTTGCCTTCTGCTTCTGGCCAAGCTCCGAGGTCCTGCAGGACAGAGAAGACAGGACATATCCATGAGATTTGGGACTCAAATCTACTCCTCATCTACTCATCCTTCAAAGAGTTTAGCGACACCAGCACAGTGTGGAATTGTCTGTGCACTGTATCCTCACCCACTTCCTAAAGTACTGTTCTCAGCGTCACAGGCAGCCAACAACCACCAGGTGCCTGGCGACAGCCCATGGGGCACCCACCGTACAGAACCATCCGGGTTCTTCTCACCCTAGAACTGTGTCCTCTTGTGCTGGGGTCTTTGATCTTCCCTTCCTGAACCTGAGTGTGGTGCCAAGTGTCTCTGCTAACTAACACCCCTCCCCCACAGCACTCTGCGCTGCCATCCAGTTTCATTTCCTTCTCGGTCTTCTGCAGACTGCTTTCTGGATGAGTCCCCCACGTTGTACGAACGGGCCCCAGAGAGGAGGACGGCAACTCACTACCGTCCCCCAGGGCCTGGTGTATACCTGGAGAAAGGATCCATTATGGAACTGGCCTGGGTCAAGGAGGAAGCAGGGTGGGGTGGGCAGTGTGTGTGTGTGTGTGTGTGAACTCTGACCTCCCCATCACCCCTGCAGGAAGCCACTGTCCAAGCCCCCTTCTTCCCAGCTGGGTTTGACACTGCTCTGACAGTCTGGGATGTGCTGCCAAGGTCCCTTCTTCCTAGGAGGCCACTTGTCAGGAAGCTGCTTTTATTACATGTATCAGTTTGTTCCACCTGTCTCCTCCCAACCGAATGTGAGTTTCACAAGAATAGAGAGATTTTCCCATCTTCTTTCTCATTCTCCGATTTATCAAGAATGGTATCTGGGGAGAGTATCGGGCAGGGTTTCCACTGGCCAGTTCTAGGATTTCATTAAACACACCACCGTCTTTGAGCTTCACGACGCAATGAGGTAACAATGTTCACTTCGCAGATGAAGATGCTCTAGGCGCTCACAGAAGTTGCTCAAGGTCACTCGGCTAATGTCTGGGTTTGACTTTACAGGTAATCACGGGTCCAGGCTGGCTCTGGCCAGCGAGATCTTTGGTCCACTCTGTGCCCCTCACCCACAGAGGGAGCCAGAGGCGGGAAATAGTGTGTGGCGCGGCTCAGGGAAGGAAGTGCTGTAATAGCATCTGCACACCTGGGCAAGGCGGGGAGGACAAGGACGAGTGCCCTGTGCTCGCCAAGCGGCAGAGGAGTGTTGAGTATGGACGGGAGGGGGACCTTCGCTCTCCCCCACGGCCTGGCATCCCCTGCCCTCAGAGCTGTCATGAGGGAGCGTTCACTACCAGCCTCACTTTCACACACTCAGTAAGTGCTCATGTCCGGTGCCAGGCACCCGCCTACACTCGCCCTTACCACCGCCATGGCCTCCTCTGACTCCTCCCTGCCTCCCTGATTACAATGTGAGTGACCAGAAAGAAGAAACCGGCTGGACGGTGGTGGCCCACACCTGTAACCCCAGCGCCTGGGAGGGAGAGGCAGGTGGATCTCTGAGTTTGAGGCCAGGCTGGTCAACGGCCTGGGGATACAAAGGAAACTCTGTTTCAAAAAAAACAGAAAGTCAAAACAAACAAAAAGAAAACAAAACAAACAAAGAAAAAGAAACCAGATGTCTCAATTCTTTTTTTTGTTTGTTTGTTTTTCTATGGCAGGATCCCACTTTGTAGACCAGGCTAGCCTTGAACCCTCTGCCTCCCAATGCTGAGATTAAAGAAGGCCTAAGCCACCACAAACTTTTATTCTTAAGAGCTCCAGCTTCCCCTGGGCATGGTTCAGCATGCCTTTAGTCCCAGAACTGGAGGCCAGCCTGGTCTCATAGTGAGATCCTGTCTCAAAAACAAAATAAAACAAATATAGAAAAGAAAGAAAAGAGGTGAGCTCCAGCTCAGAATGTCTCCCCTGTGACAAACTACACACAGAGAAATCCCCATACATGTGAGGTAACCCACCTTCTGAAGGTGGTAAGTGTGTCCACAGTGGGCTATCAGGTCCCGTCTTAGGCCACGTGAGTACACTGGCTTGTTGCAAAGATGATTAGTTAGGGAGAAACCTGCTCCATCCCTTCCCTTCCACCAGACTTACTGTTGCCAGTGTGTATAGATGTCCAGAAGGGTGATAGGCTGAGTCAGGAAACTCTTCTGTAGAGAAACAATAAAGAGCTTCAATAAGCACCCAACCCAATAGGTCTGTACCCTCCCTGGGCCTGCAACAGGTACCTCAAAAATGGTTTGTTTGCTCTTAGATATCTACTTGGCGTTACCAGCACCATTCAAAAGCTTCCAGAGTCAAGAAGGACAACCAGTTCCGGCTACAAATCTTTCAATATGATACAAGGGTAAGAGGGACTTTTGAGAGCTGGGCACGTGAACAGTCCAAACTAGCATTACCCGACATCCCTGGCACAGATCGGGGATGGAAGCCAGACGGCAGAGCCTTCCCTACCTAACCTCGTAGATGGTTTTCAAAGGCTTGGCTAGTCAATCTCCCCCAAACACAAGACAGCCCAAATCCTGAAGGCTTCCAGGTGACATACTGGAGCCTACTGGATGTCTAGAAAGAGACTAAGCCCAAATAGTGCAAGGGTCTTTTTTCCCCCTGAGACAGGGTTTCTCTGTGTAGCTTTGGTGCCTGTCATGGAACTCATTCTGTAGACCAGGTTGGCCTCGAACTCACAGAGACCCACCTGCCTCTGCCTGCTGAGTGCTGGGATCAAAGGCGAGCGCCACCACTGCCTGGTGGGTGCAAAGGTCTTAGTTAAAACAGAGGAAAACAGATAACAGGCCTAGGCTGAGAACACACTGTGTGAACGTGGAGAGCAAACAGCCAAAGTGATCCAATGGGAGTCAAAAGAGCCACATGCAGAGGAAAAAAAAAACCATGGCAGCATCCTTTGCCATCCTTGTTACCAACTCTTCATTTCCTTCTAGTCTACTCCAATGTCATCCTCTCCATAAGACTTCTCTGACCACCTTAGTTGTAACTGGAGCCTGACATCCCATAGCCTCCCTGTGGCCAGCAGCTGCCACAATCCAGAGAGGCTAATCCACAAGCTTATTTTTATGTGTCTGCTCTGTGAGAGCAGGACACTCTTGCTTGGGCACACAAACCATGACCATGGATGGGCACTATGTCTCGCTCGCTCGCCCTATCTGTTAAGTTATATAATTGGAGTTACGAATGGGAAGGGAACCAAGGTCCAGAAAAGCCAGAGATAACATCTTAGGGCCCAGCAACCTTCTTCAGTTTTGAGTTAGTTTGTTTTTGAGACAGGGTCTCACAATGTAGCCCCTGGCTGGCCTTGAACACACTATGCAGACCAGGTTAGCAGTGAGTTCACAACAGATCTACCCACCTCCACCTCTAGAGTGCTGGGATTAAAGGCAAGGACCACCACACCCAGTGGGCCCTGCCGTTTTCACTGTGGCCAAAGTGGTAGTGACTAACCAGGTCAATATCCATCTCACCACTGATTACCACTGTTCTTCTGGGAACTACCCATCACGGATCATTCCAACCTGTCTGCTTTGCCTCCATCTCTCTGGGAGACTCTACAGTCGTGTATTTCAAACTCCAGGCACAGCAAACTTTCTGGAAACTAGGACACTTGGAAGCTCCACTCCAACCTCAGGGCATCAGCGCCTCTAACTACCTTGAGCCCTCAAATCAACTACATCCTCAGGGAAGCATGTCCCTGGATATTCCCCACCCAGATTCGGCCACCCATGTTTTAGTATCTCAAATCTCCCATTCTACAGCTTAATACAATGCTAACCATACAGTCACTTTTGTGATTCTTTTGCACCCTCTACTTGGCTGTGAGACTGGGTAGAGGGGTCTGAGACTGGCGCTCCCCATATCATCATTTGCACCTCAGGGCCAAATTAAAAGTTGCCAAGTGAAAGAACTTTGAAATTCCTGCACCACGAGTTCGAGTCTTGTCATAACCAAAGACAGTCAAGGGCCCGCACGCCTTCGTTCGGCGTTCGCAACAAGAGTGGTGACAATCCACCCCAAGACCAGCCGCTAGCTGGGTGCCCTAGGAAAACTGCACAGAGCCACGTGGCCTGAGACTAGGGAAACTTAAACCTGCGGCTACCGGGAAACCGGGGCGGGAATTACGAAGCTGCATGCCTCGGATCAGAGGTTCCGGCCCGCCCACTGCACCGAGGAGGAAACTGAGCCCCGGGAGGTGGCTGGAAGTCGCAGGGGGTAGGGCAGAGCTCAATGCTCCTCCTGCACCCCCTGGCCCGCATCTCAGACCGGCTCTAGCCGGGTCTCCTGGGAGGGGCGCGGGCTACTGCTCTCTAGGACTTGCACTCGGCCCTCCGACGCTTACCTGGCCGCTCTGCTCCTTCACTTCCCGCGCCGCGCGGACGTAGCCGGCCTGCAGCAGATGATGGTAGATGAGGGGAAGCAGCTCCCGCCGCTTCCTGGCCTCGGCCATGCCAGAGATCCGGCCAGCCTATTCACGTGCACGCCCCCTCGCCCCCCGCCAGCCTCTTCCCTCGCGCCCTAGGACCTCATGTTCCTCACTTCCGGCCCTGCGTCACTCAGCCGAGCGGCGCGCTGGGAAGTGTAGTCTTGTAGCTGGAGTGGGCCAATCTGTCCGAGAGGGCGGGGCCACGGAGGCTAATCAGCTCTGCCATTGGCTGGGAGGCGTGGCCTGATTGGAACCTGCCCTCGGGACGGCCATGAAACCTTCATCTTAATTTTGGTTTACTCCTTTTAAGGGGTTTACTGTCCTGGCCTTAATGATAGCTGCGGCGTCTTTAGTCATCTTCGAACTTCCCGATCACTGGCCCCAGCTTCCAATTACTCATTCATTTCACACCGTGTTTAGGACCCGTGAACCAGGCATCAGTTGTCATTAGTGTGTTGAATCGCTAAATAAATCCTTACCTGAGCCCCATACGCTAACACCCAGCTAGGCTGGGGACATGGAAAGAGAAACAAAACAAGCAGTTGACCTAAGGGTCACCCAGGCAGGAAGGAGATTCAGTGGATAACCTGACGATTACAGTCCAGATGTCTGGTGCACCTTGTATAGAGAAGGCAGAGCCCATGGAAGCATGGAAGAGGCGCAGCTAACCCCAAGAGACATCTAAGTGTAGACTCAAACACAACTGAAAAAAAAATTTAATCTTTTTCTTTTTTTTTCAAGACAGGGTTTCTTTGTGTAGCCCTGTCTGTCCTAGAACTTGAGCTATAGACCAGGCTGGCCTGGAACTCACAGAGATCCGCCTGCCTCTGCCTCCTGAGTGCTGGGATTACAGGCGTATGCTACCCCTGTCCAGCAACAGCAGAAACTTTTGAGCATGCAGGTACTGCATGAGTTGGAATGTGAGGAACCTCTTTTGGTGTTTGGTAAGGAAACCCCAAACAGAACTCTGCCCTGCTATGCTGTGGAGTTATGAAGAAGAGGGTCCAGAACACTGGAGGATAGAGAATCAGGCTTATAGTGTCTTTCTCCCAGCCGAGTTCTGACATGCTCCAAGAGAATATAAAAACAGGTGCTGGCAGGTGGATCATGCATTCTCCCCACCCCAACCCCAGACAAGGTTTCTCTATGTAACAGCCATGGCTGTCCTGGAACTCACTCTGTAGTCCAGGCTGGCCTTGAACTCACAGAGCTCCACCTGCCTCTGCCTCCTGAGTGCTGGGATTAAAGGCGTGCGCCACCCCTGCTTACCTAGCGCTTGGGAGGCAGATTCTCTGAGTTGGAGGCCAGTCTGGTCTAGAGATCGAGTTCCAGAACAGACAGGTTTCGCTTTACGTGGAGAAACCCTGTCTCAAACAAGCAAACAAACAAGGAACTCCAGTGTGGGCTGCTGTGTTTGCAGAGGGAACACTGACAAGGAGAGAGTGGGGGTGGCCTGGGCCGATTTGAGGCAGCTGTTCTTAATGTCATGGACTGTTTGGAAATCTGCTGCTAGCTTTCACGCTAGGAATGTTACATGTGTCGTCATACATTTCCACTCAAATTCAGAACCCACATAAGCATGTACAATGATGACTCTTCAGTGGTGACTGGACTTTAGAATCACCTAAGAGATACTCCAGTGGGCATGTCTGGTAAGGAATGTCTGGGTAGGGCATCCTGTCCGAAAGCCTAACAAAGGCCTGCCTGCACTTTACCTGGTCTGCTGACATGTAACTGAAATCCCTGCCGCCATACCTTTCCCACCATGGTGGGCTGTACTGGAATAAACCTTCCCGATTTAAGTTGCTTCTTGCTGGATATTTGGTTACAGGAACAAGAAAAGTGACAAATGCTCACTCTAGGGAGAAGCAGAGAGGACCAGGTCACCAGAGTGAATGTAGCATGTGAGGAAACAGACTGGTCTATTCAGACATTGAGCAAATATTGAATACCTACTTGGAAACCAGATGGTCTGTACTCCTGCAGAGCTTACAAGGCTAATGAGGCGGGCACATGCTAAACAAATAGCCATAGCATACACTGAAGGGCGGGAGAGCCTTTTCTCGGGGGAATGGCGTAGTGTTTGAAAGCCACACTGAAGTCACACTATCTGGGTTTAAAATTTGGCTTTGTTTCTTATTAAGTGGGCTTGGCAAGTTCTATAACTTCTCTGTGCCTTAGTTTATCTGTGAAGTGGAGATAATTACCATTTCTACCTCCAGTGGTTGTCATGAGGGGGAATAGAATTCTAAGCAGAAATATTTAGAAAGGCCCTTAATAAGCCGGGCAGTGGTGGCGCACGCCTTTAATCCCAGCACTCGGGAGGCAGAGCCAGGCGGAACTCTGTGAGTTCGAGGCCAGCCTGGGTGAGATCCAGGAAAGGTGCAAAGCTACACAGAAAAACCCTGTCTCAAAAAACAAAAACAAAACAAAACAAAAAAGGCCCTTAACAATAGTGAGGAGTTTCAAGAATGTGAACTGGTGGGGAGTGCCCTGAGATGCCAGAGGAGATGGACATGGATCACACTTGGTCAGATTAGCATCATGGAAGACTGACTCAGGAGGTGCCACATGCAGAAGAGGGGAGGGCTGTGGAGATGCTTGGATGTTGGGAAGTTTTGCGTGGAGGGGAGAAAAGAACTCTCTCTCTCTCTCTCTCTCTCTCTCTCTCTCTCTCTCTCTCTCTCTCTCTGTGTGTGTGTGTGTGTGTGTGTTTGAGGAGGTGTGTTTTGAGTTGGAAGAGACCTAAGATGGTTTAAAAACTGATGCAGACCCAGGGGAGAGAGATGCGGGAGGCATTTTTTGGTGGAAAAGCTGGGGAAAGAACTGGGAAGTGATGTTTGAGGGCGTGTGGGAGGGAGGGATCGGGGTGTGGGTGGAGGGCTGGTCTGAGAGAGGGGGAGGCAGGACTTCAATAGAACCCCAAAGCGGGAGCCCGGAGAGAATGGGTGCACATGTGGATGTAGGTTTGCAGTGGGATGTTAAGGGAGATTTCATCTTGAACTTCTATTTTTCTCTTGGAAGTGGGAGGCGAGGTCTGCTGAGAGTGAAGAAGAGGTGTCGAGGAGTTGGAAGGAGGGAGAATAATCATTCAGAGCATCAAGCAACTTCCCCACAAGATCCTGGCTAGCCTGCTGGATTCGATGACCCCGTTGGGCTGATAGAGGCCGGTGTGCTGTGTCCTAACCCGTCCTGCCGAACAATTTCTGTGGCCGGGGCTCAGCTGCCCAGATGCAGACAAGGAATGGGCTCTGAGGGTGTATCCAGGGCGAGGGTTTTGTCAAATGGCCAGAAAACAAAAGGGTGTGGGCATCTAAGGGGTTCCCAAAAGACCAGAGTGCCGTAAGAACTAAGCTGACAAAGGAGGGATGGGAAGGGTCAGTTTTTAGGGATTCAGCCTTCAGAGACTGGGGCCACCTCAGGTCTAGGGAACTAGAGACCAGGACCTAAGAAAGCTGGCAGCTGGGTGAATGATGAGCCCGGGAGTCTGCTTGCTTGCACAGCTGGTTGCGTGATGAGGGTAAAGGATGAGCAGACAAGATTCAAAGACCTGTACTCCCCTCTCCTCACAGGTTTCTCCTCCTCCAGGGCATTCTCACCCCAAATGATAAAGAAAACACCCTTAAAAGGGCCTTGGGATGCTGTCTGACCACAAGGACCTGCCCCCAGCTGGGCGCCTGCGCACAGTAGGTTCTGGTCAGTCGTGGCATGTGCCTTGAGAAGAGGTCAGGGTGCCTTTTTACCAGCAGGAGTGTGAGCAGAGAAGGAGCCGAGTGTGTATCCCCAGCTGACCCTGGAAGGAACGGAGAGCTAGTTTTAAATTCAAACAAACCAAACCTACACTAAATCAGGACGCTCTAATACCTCAGCCTGGCGGCAGGTTGTTTTGTTTTGTCCTAATACAATTCATTGTCAGATGCCTCTTCGGAGGACAGCTTCTTTATTTCCGGGGTTTTCTAAATCATATCCTTCAGTGACTTGCCCGAGGACCCAGGCACAAAATTAAAACCCATAATATATAACATGGCAACAGTTAAGGCAAAAGCAAACAAAGATGTGCATTAAGAACATTTGCCTTGGAGCGTTTCTCTACCAGTTAGGGAAAGTTGACTTTGTTCACGGAAGAAGCTAGAAGCTTCCAGAGCACTCAGCTTAAGTGTCCTTGGGCAAAGCAGCCTGCCTTAGTCACCTCAGGTTCCCAGGCAGGTCAGGAAAAGAAGGAAAACTGGGCTGGAGGGGTGGGTGGCTCAGTGGTTAAGATCACTCACTGGTCTTGCAGGGGACCTGGGTTTGAGTCACAGCATCGACATCAGGTGGCTCATCACTGCTTGTCATTTCAGCTCCAGGGAGGCCAGTGGCCTCTTCTGGCCTCCTTGGGCACCTCCGCTCATGGGCACATACCCAATACATATATACATAATTTAAAATAATAGTAATCGTTTAATGTTTAATTAATTAATTGGAGACAAGGTCTCCCTACGTAGCACTGGCTGTCCTGGAACTCACCCTGTAGACCAGGCTGGCCTCAAACTCAGAGATCTGCCTGCCTCTTCACCCAAGAGCTGAGATTAAAAGTGTGCACCCCTATGCCCAGCATAATAACATTTTTTTTTTTTTAAGAAGAGAAGAACAAGAGAAAGGAAGAAAGTTCATTCAGCAGGTGGGGCTCTCTATCCTGTTCCCAGCAGGAATGTTTCTGCGCACAGAGGAGAGGTAGCAGGACCAAGGAGCACTAAAGAACTTTTATGACCAAATTCTGCTGTGGGGCCTCAGGCCAGTCTCTTTGGTCCTCTGAAATGACCTTGTGTTAAATGGATCTGTGAACAAAGGCTGTTCTGCTGAACTCCCTAGAGGGGGCCTATCTGGGAAGGTTGTCTGTCATTAAGACAGCCCCCTTTCTCCATCTTCCAGGGTCTCTCTGCCTCACGTCACTTTGGCACGCTGTTTTCCCAGCTCCTTCTCTCACAGGACAGCAATTTCTGTTTGTTGGTTTTCAATCCAGAGAAAGCTTTTGAAGGTCATTAAGTTGTTACTAAAGTAACAGGTTAAGCAACTCCAATAAGTATCCAAGACAGTTAACCCCCTCTCCCAACACCCCCA